ACTGACAACTAGTTGACTGAAATAATAATCTACTCAAGATACATGAAACTTGTTAAATATAGAATTCAGTTAGAGTGAGTTGAAAAATATATGGTAAGAATCTATGTCATACAATTAACAATATCAAAAATTAGGAGATGTTATTTATAAAAAATAAGGAGATGTGGTATAATTGCCAATGAGACAACTAACTATCTACCAAAGTTCAGATGAAGTTGATGTAAGGAATTATAGGCAGTCATACGGCCTTCAACACTGAGAAAAACCTATACCGTATAGTCGGCTACAAAAGACCCCGATATGAAAATTGTGAAACATTTCAATTGAGAAAACTAACGACCTAATTCATAACAAAACAATTTTCGAAATACAAACATGATAGACATGAACCAAAGACAACCACTGAACTACAGGCTCTTAACTTTGGCCAGACACATACATAATGTGGCGTTGTTAAACATGTTTATGAGCGCTCGATCCTCACCCAGCGGTGATACAGCACAACATAAGAACAACTGTAAAAATCAGTTGCAGTTTGCTTTACCTAAAAGATCGATACGAGGCACAAAACAACTAACATAAAATCAATAGACACAAAGCACCGAAATAAGAGTACTCGCAGTTACCGACTAAGTCTACCAGAGCTTTATAGCTTATTAAACAAATATCAAAACATTGAATCAGAGAATGCAACATATTTGAACAAATTATATCTAAATTGGCTTAATGAAAGCTAGATGAGATACATATTGTAATAGACTTTTGAAGTATAATAAGCAATTAGTGTGGCTTTGATGATGAATTGATAATTTGTTACAGGAAAAGGAAATTCGAATACAAATACATATGGTATTACGCTAAATCTAACATCAATCCGTAATAACATTAACTGTGCAGATTTGACAATGGCATTGTAATCTCATTAGTGATGAGCTGTAGTTAATACAGGACCCTGCAAAACATGAATCACCCAGGACATGACAATACCATATACAGGTCAGAGGCACTTGTCTCTGAAAAAAAATCCTATATACCTTAAAATAACACGTGTTATATTAAGGTATATAGGGGGGGAAAATTTCAGAGACAAGTGCCAGTGATACAGGTACCTCTAACATTTCTTCTCTGAAAATGAACATCTCAGACCTCAGATTTGTCATAAAGTTACATACCCGATGTTTATTTCGAAGACATTTTCTCAATATCACAACACAGCATTGGTAGAAAATGTGTACCAAAAGCGCTCAATGTGCCAGCATCCAGAATGTATTTCTATTTTATTCACAAAGAGGTTCACAAAATGGCAGTATCATGATGTGTCATGGAGGCAACTGAACAACTGTCTTTAATTTCTATTTTTTTTTCCAGTAAAGAATTCACAACAAATGGTTTTGTATCGATTACTTACAGCGAAAAAGCCAACAATCAAAGATTCACTGATCATGTCTAAGATTATATTCTGAATTGTGGGCGTGAAATAGGAACACTAGCAAATTAAGGTTGACATTAAAGAAATGTCATTTTTGTTTACTACTAGTGCATGAAGTTAATGGCAATGACACATATTGTGAATATAAAAAGAAAGTTCTGCAATAAGTTTACAATCGACATGGCAATTCTTTGCGGTAATAGTATGAGATACTATCCAGGGTTCAATTCATAGAGTGCACCTACAACTTATATGCAGTCTACTATAGAAAAATAAACTGTTGTTTATTAATCAAGTCGCTGGACCATTATCTAGTAGACAGGGCCTGAAAATAATCTTCAAACTGATATGTACTGATAATAATGCAACTTTATATAAAATATTATTGATATATCACAAGTAGATCCTATCAATCAGACTTAAGCAGAAAACTTAACATTGAAAATTGCTTATTAATTCAGTCACTGGACCATGTCCTAGGGAGCAGGGCCTCAAAATAGTCATCAAACTGATATGTACAAATAGTAATATAACTGCATACAAAATATCACTGATCTATCACAAGTAGATCCTATCAAACTGACTTAAGCAGAAAACATAACATTGAAAATTGCTTATTAATTCAAAGTCACTGGACCATGTCCTAGTGGGCAGGTTTAACATAGTTCAACATTTGCAAGATATTTTAGAATCATATATCCTGTATCCTCCTGCATACTCACTAACATTAAATTGATGGTGGAATTCCATGGACCCCTTTCTTATTTCGCCAGTCATTTGCTGTGTTCCTGTCGGTGGTGATGTTTTCGATTCAATTAACGTACTATAAGTATAATTGGTAAATTACTTAGATAGGGATGTCGTTTCCACAAAATACTTAAAATTCTAGCAGTGCTTTTTATGGAGTATATATCTCCCAGTTGACAGTTGAACTATGGGTTCCAAGTTGAGGTCATCCCTTTAAACGTTTAAAGGACGCCATCACGAGTTGCCGTTGGCCCACGTTATGGAATGTCGATCAGTGTCACAGATGACCATGGATGCATTCCAATTGTCTTAATAACAATTCTGTCCTCTTTACCTCCAGTGCGACATCATCAAATAACCCTCGTGGCCGAATTTGTACTTACCATGAGTAACACGACATGTAACACTAGGGGAGCAGGATCTGTTTACCTTTTTGGAGCACCTGAGATAACTACCAGTTTTTGATGGGGTTTTGTCACTCAGTGTAGTTTTCTGTGTAGTGTTTGGTGAACTTCGTCTTTTGGGTTGGTTTTTTTGCAATGGTGTTGTCGGTTTTTCTTCACTTATGAGTTATGAATGTTCCCTTGGTATCTAACCCCTCTTTTTAAATTTTTTCGTAATTTTTCATACATACAAAAATTTCTTTCGGCTGTACCGTACTTTATGTATTGAAAACAGGATATCACATCCTAATTTTTACTGTGATGTTGTTCGCAGTAGTGTCCGTCAAATCAGATACAATGCATGTAAACTTATTGATCCTTTTAATAAACTTTTTCTTAAAAGATCAATATAACACCGTAAAATTTTGTTTATATTGTCACTAACATAGATTTTGTTTTTGATAAACTAAATAAACAGCTGTGCCATGAGCGCATGATACGCCCGTCGTCTTGTGTGTGAATTTTTATGCAATAAGCATAAATAGTTTCTGACATACGTCGGACATGCAAAAACACCCTTTTTTTTTTTACAAAAAAATCAATATCTCGAAAATAAAATTTTGAATCAAAACTAAAAAGTATAAAGATCTTTAGATTAATATAACTAAAAAGTGTGTAAAATTTTAAGCAATACTCATAAATCGTTTTTGAGATACGGCGCGACATGTGAAAAACCCCTCCCCTTTTTTTACAAAATACTCAATAACTCAAAAATAAAATTTTGAATCATCACCAAAAAGTATACAGATCTTAAGGTTAATATAACTAAGAAGTGTGTAAAGTTTTAAGCAATAATCATAAACTGTTTTTGAGATATGGCGCGACATGTGAAAAAAAAAAAAACACACACCTGTTTTAGTTACTAAGTCCCGTAACTCAAAAAGTTTTAATCTTATTTTCACCAAAAAGTATACAGATCGTTTGACCATCATAAGAAACAACTATGTTAAGTTTCATGAAATTTTGATAAGTCATTCTCAAGTTACGGTGCGACATGTTTAAGCCGTAAAGACAGACGGACAGACAGACGGACAGACAGACAGACAGACGGACGCCGGACATTTGTATACCATAATACGTCCCGTCAAAAATTTGAAATTTGACGGGCGTATAAAAATAACTAAATATGTATTACTATACAGTTATGAAAACATAGGATTCTAGATCCTGTCGGTACTGTTTACTTATATTTTGAGATTGCAGAAGGTCATGCTTTTCCTTTTATTTATGACATCTTTACAATAAATCTGCTGGATGTGTACTGACTGATAATTAGTCTGGGAGGACATTTTTTAAATTTTTTATTGCAATTGGCTTTGAACTTATTTTCAGTAAATGTGAAAACACTAGAACAATTCTTTGTGACTATTGTTTTTATGCGAGTTGTTTTTGTACCTTGTACCAATCTATTGAGGAAAGCCATTTCCAACTCTTTTTTAAAGTTTGTTCTTATGTTGTACTGAAACACCATTGCACTATCCCAGGTTAGGGTCGGGTTGAGCACTAACAACATTTTAAAATACATTCTGTATGTGCCTGTCCCAAATGAAATCAGAAGCATGTAATGTAGTGGTTGTTATTAGTCCATGTTTGTCATATTTGTTTTTTGTTAATTGCTTTGTTATAAATCAGGCCATTAGTTTTCTCATATGAAACACTTCCTATTTTGTTATGCCTTTTAAAACTTACTATACAGTAATGGTTTTCTCATTAATGAAGGCCCTACAGTGACCTATAGTTGCTAACATCCACGTCAATTGGACTCTTGTGGATAGATGTTCCATTGGCACTCAGGGCTATTCCATTAAAATGTATGTGGGAGGGTAGGAAGGGACTTTCAAAATATCCCTTCAACCAAGAACCATTTTTTAGATAATTTTGCATAATGGTAATAGACACATACTGAAAAAAGACCCATGACCCACATTCAATAATTAATCTTCCCTTCCTACCCTCCCACATACATTTTAATGAAATAGCCCTCATACCATGTCCTTATATTTTATATAGATTTGAGCATTTGTTGATTTTTTTATTAAATCAATAGTAAAATTTTGAAATGGGTGCCACCAGTGAAGCAGGAACTGCTAAACTTTCTGGACCACCTGCGTTCATCCCCCATTTGTTTGTGTCCTAAGTTTTCTGTGTAGTGTTTTGATGACCTTTTGTCTTTTGTGTTTTCATCATGGGTTGTCTGTTTGTCTGTTGTTCTTTGGCATTGTTTTTGATTGCACCCTTTTAAACCAATTGTATACCTGTTTTAATGTCAGCTTTTAATATTATCATGGCATAAGTTGGAACATTCTGTACAGTTTTTACGCTTGTTATAGGGTCCATTTAGAGAAACAATGATGTGTAAAAGTAACAACTAAACACTTAAATGGAATACAATTTTATGTAATTTGGTCATCCTGATGAAGAATTTCCTTTGCAGCAAATTGAAACAGTTTATGATTGACTGACTTCAGCCTGGCTATTTCTTCTTTACACTTGGCAAGTTCTTCTGCTGGATCAGATAGTTCTGTGTTCTGTAAACATACAAAGATAAATAATAGTAGAGAGACAGATTGTAAAATGACTGTGCTCTGTAAACATACAAAGATAAATAATAGTAGAGAGACAGATTGTTAAATGACTGTTTTCTGTAAACATACAAAGATAAATAATAGTAGAGAGACAGATTGTTAAATGACTGTTTTCTGTAAACATACAAAGATAAATAATAGTAGAGAGACAGATTGTTAAATGACTGTTTTCTGTAAACATACAAAGATAAATAATAGTAGAGAGACAGATTGTTAAATGACTGTTTTCTGTAAACATACAAAGATAAATAATAGTAGAGAGACAGAATGTATAATGACAACTAAAATGAGTAATAGAGACAATACTGACAGAGGTTTCTAAACACAAAAGCTCCAATGTATCTTATGTTAGTTGAAGCCATATTACTTATGTGTATCAGACGGAAAAAATATGACGAATAAAAAGTAGGTGATAACAAAAGGCACAATTAACAGTGTCTGGCACTGTTAATACTGTGTTTTGGCATTGCCTTCTTTTTATTTGAAATAATGTCAACTAGTTGACTTTACTATTAATCTACTCAAGATACATAAAATTTGTTAAACTTATAATTCATTTATAATGAGATGAAAAATATATGGTTAAAATCTTGGTACAATGTAATACATTAAACAATATAAAATAATGAGATGCAGTATGACTGCCAATGAGACAAATATATTCACCAAAGGCTGAGAATTTTAACAACTTAAGGTCACAATATGGCCTTCAACAATGAGCAAAACTCATACCATATAGAAAGCTACAAAAGGTTACAGCATGAAAAAAGATACTCAATAGTTCAATCATCTTGCTTTTTTTTAGTGCAGCTTACTCTTAGCCTTCATTTGTATAAAAGCAAGCTGGATATGAGTTATCTCTTCTGATGTAAATGCTTAATAGATTTGTGATTGGCCTTGCAAACTTACTAAAACTGAACTTTTATATGTTATAACATTGAAATATTATTTTTCAGGCAAATGCTTAAACACTTAATATACTGCTAAGCATCAAGCATTGATGCAGAAAATAGAATATGTGTCTGCCCTTTTTAAGTCTTTTAACAGACAATAATATTTGATTTCATCAAATATAAAAAACGAATGACAAATCTTACATTGAGCCTTCTTTCTGCCTTATTTAAGCTGATATAAGCATGTATAGATGCATGCCCATGAACAAAACAAATCCTCTTATAATTATGGTGAAATATATTGATAATTTTTGTCATCAATCATGATTTCCCATGATTTTATCATTTCCTTTGTATCTATACCTTGCAAAAAGAATGGTGTTATTTCTATCATTGCACACTGATTCTTAGGTGCTGTAACAAGTTTTAATATAACAAAATTTACATGTTTTTTGAAGTAATGTTTGATTGGGTTCGTGTTCCTCAGTCTTGTGTTTTGTAGACTGTTGTGGTTGATTTTCATATTATGAAGACATAATCTTTCAATCAGTTTAATTGAAATCTGGAGCTGGCATGTTAGTAACTGCTAGTAGTCCTTTGTTAATTTATGTTATCATTGTCATTTTGCTTAGTTTCTTCTGTTACCTATTCTAACATTGGACTCAAGACTTCCTTTGCACTGAGTTCTACTGTGAGTTTTGCTGTGTGTTAATTTATTCAACATTGGCTAGAGGTATAGGGGGAGGGTTGATATCTCACAAAACATGTTTAACTGAGCTGCATTTTTGCACCTGTCCCAAGTCAGAAACCTCTAGCCTTTCTTAGTCTTATGCATTTTATAATTTTGGATCATTTTGTATGTAAAACAGTTTAGTGTGGAGTCCATTTCACTGAACTAGTATACATTATTGTTTATGGGCCAGCAAATGCCCGCCTCTGGGTGCGGGATTATCTTGCTGTGATGAAGACCCATTGGTGGCCTTGGGCTGTTTTCTGCCCTTTGATCATGTTGTCTTTTTGACACATTCCTCGTTTCCATTTGTTTTCTATTGGTCTTTTTTTTCATTTTTGCCATGGCATTGCTTATTTCGTTTTCCACTTATGAATTTGAATATTCCGTTGGTATCTCCCGCCTCTCCTCTCTCTCTTATAAAAATTATCATAAAGCTACCTTGCAGAAATGAGAAATAATACTGTAATCTGGAAGAATATCACATATTGACATATGATTCCACTGAAAATGCTCATTAATGTTAATCAGCTATACTCCAGACAAAAAGTAAAGAAAATACTTATAAGGTATTGGAGCATAGAATCCAAATGCTCTAAACAGAACTGCAACAACCTTATCGTACCTCGTATGTCAACTTTATATATTTTTTACAAAATTAAAGGGCTAGATGTTGGATGACAAGGATTTCTAAAACTCATTTGAACATGTTGAAAAAGCTTTGAAAATATTTAACTATAGTAAAAAGATTTAAAGTAAATATCAATACCAAAAACTACTGAAAAAAAGTGGCAACTCACCAGGCTAAATCACAAAATTTAATTAGTGTTTATAACTCAACACTTAAAATTTTTAAAAAAATTGCCAATCTACATATTGTCATATTCATACTGTACTTACTTGTGACAAATATGATGAAACATCTGACATATAATCAACCACAGATTCAATCTGAAAAAACAAAAAGAAAGGTAAAATACTTAAAAAAATAAAGAAGTAAAAAATCCTATGTGTTGTACAAGGAAATTAATAAACTCCCACGGTTTATCTGTTTATTAATAGAAAAAAAAGAGACAAATGAATCGAGAAATTTGAAAACAGTGTGTAAAATATATGGCATACTGATAATGATATGTGACTATTCCTAACTGGGTCCATATAAACAAATAATATCCAGAAGATTAAAGGCATGATTATGATGGACAGAATATCAGAAGGTAGATTCCTGATGTCAACATTAGCCGAAGAAAAAAATATACAGATGTACAGACAAATGGCAAACAAGACCAATGAGCAGACAGATTGCATTAAGAGACAGATGAACAAATGAATATCACAAATAAGACAAAACTATATACAAATAACAAGGACAAAACATATGTATAGACATACAAGAAAAGCTAAAATGGTGAAAATTAAACTTGACCTTCATTAAGTCACAGGAAACAATATATCTAAATTTGAAAAGATTTCATCAAAGCTTTTTCATGTTAATGAACGGACACTGTTTGGCAGCCGCCAACACGCCCGCCCGCCGTACATTCCCAAATCAATAACCAATTTTTCTTTTGAAAATCCAGTTAATAAAAAGGACAAAACAGATTAACAGGCAATAACAAGGGCAAGACAGCTGTACAGGCAAATAACAAGGGCAAGACAGATTTACAGGCAAATAACAAGGACAAAACAGATTTACAGGCAAATAACAAGGACAAAACAGATGTACAGGCAAATAACAAGGACAAAACAGATTTACAGGCAAATAACAAGGGCAAAACAGATTTACAGGCAAATAACAAGGGCAAAACAGATATACAGGCAAATAACAAGGACAAAACAGATTTACAGGCAAATAACAAGGGCAAGACAGATTTACAGGCAAATAACAAGGACAAAACAGATTTACAGGCAAATAACAAGGGCAAAACAGATTTACGGGCAAATAACAAGGACAAAACAGATATACAGGCAAATAACAAGGACAAAACAGATTTACAGGCAAATAACAAGGGCAAAACAGATTTACAGGCAAATAACAAGGGCAAGACAGCTGTACAGGCAAATAACAAGGGCAAGACGAGGACAAAACAGATTTACAGGCAAATAACAAGGGCAAAACAGATTTACAGGCAAATAACAAGGGCAAGACAGCTGTACAGGCAAATAACAAGGGCAAGACAAGGACAAAACAGATTTACAGGCAAATAACAAGGGCAAAACAGATTTACAGGCAAATAACAAGGACATACAGATTTACAGGCAAATAACAAGGACAAAACAGATGTACAGGCAAATAACAAGGGCAAAACAGATTTACGGGCAAATAACAAGGGCAAGACAGATGTACGGGCAAATAACAAGGGCAAGACAGATGTACAGGCAAATAACAAGGGCAAGACAGATGTACAGGCAAATAACAAGAACAAGACAGATGTACGGGAAAATAACAAGGGCAATACAGATGTACAGGCATTTACAGGCAAATAAAAAGGACAAAACAGATTTACAGGCAAATAACAAGGACAAAACAGAGTTACAGGCAAATTACAAGGACAAAACAGATTTACAGGCAAATAACAAGGGCAAAACAGATTTACGGGCAAATAACAAGGACAAAACAGATTTACAGGCAAATAACGGCAAATAACAAGGGCAAGACAGATTTACAGGCAAATAACAAGGACCAAACAGATTTACGGGCAAATAACAAGGCCAAAACAGATTTACAGGCAAATAACAAGGACAAAACAGATTTACAGGCAAATAACAAGGGCAAAACAGATTTAAGGGCAAATAACAAGGACAAAACAGATTTACAGGCAAATAACGGCAAATAACAAGGGCAAGACAGATTTACAGGCAAATAACAAGGGCAAAACAGATTTACAGGCAAATAACAAGGACAAAATAGATTTACGGGCAAATAACAAGGGCAAAACAGATTTACAGGCAAATAACAAGGGCAAAACAGATTTACAGGCAAATAACAAGGGCAAAACAGATTTACAGGCAAATAAGAAAGGCAAAACAGATGTACACAGATTTACAGGCAAATAACAAGGGCAAGACATATTTACAGGCAAATAACAAGGACAAAACAGATTTACAGGCAAATAACAAGGACAAAACAGATTTACAGGCAAATAACAAAATGTCAGGAGGTCAGGAGGTCAGGCATATTGTTGGGACCTCCGCAGATGTACAGTCAAACAACATGTAAAATACAGATGTTTCAGACAAGATTTATGTATATATATTGAGGAGATCCACATGTAACCTCTGGCTGTAGTTGATCCTCTTTAAATAAATAAAGAACTATATCAAATAGTATGTACAATACAAATGTACAGTCATAGTACAAGAACAAGACAGTTGAACAGACAATTGATTACCAAAAATTGCATAGTATCAGAAGATTCAGTCTTAATTCTGTACTTCTAGTTAGGAGCATGTGTCCTTACAATTTCAATGCTATGACCTAAAACTGATTACTAGACAAGAGAACTAGACAAGAGAATAGACATTACAAGATAGTTTCTCTGTAAATTTACAATATTTCTACCTTTCTAGATCATGCTTTTCATCACAGACATCCACAAATGCAAATTTAACTAAATTCTCTCAATACAGGATGTTTAAACATGATTACCAGAAGCGTAAATCATTATCAGAGAAGTAACAATATTTCTCTAATATTTAATCAATTTTGCTGAAAGTGTCAGTTTGGTACATTTGTAAATAAATCTCTTATCAATGACTAAAGATATTAAGTAGATATTCAATGTATATTATTGCTGTATCGGGAAGTTAATGGAAGGTCATAAGTCAATGTTAATAAATAACTAAAAGTTATTATCTTCTCCTTCATATGTTACTGTGGATTCATTTATTTTTGTGGGGTACATATTTACGTGGATTGAGGAAAAATTATTTTTTTGTGGATATTTGATTTCATTGTTTTGCCAAAATTTGCATACAAGCCTATAGAAAATTTACACTTCATTGAACATTTAAGCTTGTGTTTCATGTATTCCCAAGGAATCTGTGAAAATTGGAATCCCATGAATAATAATGAATCCACAGTACTTAATTTGACTTGTTTTCACCTTTTTGAGCACTCTTAAAAAAAAGTTTAACCCTGCCCCTGTTATGTTCCTGTCTCAAGTCAGGAAACTTTGTGTCACTGATTGTCCTAAATTATATCATAAATAATGTAGCAAATTAAAGCTTGAAATATGAAATTGACACTTGTCTACTATTGAAGACATTTCAGGAACTTTTTCGTGAGTGTATGTGTTTAAAATGGGTGTAGATAAGTCATATTTAGCTGTATGTTTAGCCTTTTTCAGATATCAGGAAATTTTCCTGTGGGAAGTCATAATTAGCTGTGTTGTCAAAGGCAATTCAGGAATTAGATGGTATACTAAGAAAATTAACCAAATGTATGAATAAAAGAACATAAGATAATCATCCATATGACAGAAAGCCAACAATACAAACCAAACTACTAGACATCTTCATGTCAAAATTAAGTCTTCAAGGATTTGCAGGGAATCCCAAGTTCTAATTCGTCTCAAGCCTTGACCTTAGACAAACTGTGAAAAAAATTCAACGTAGACAACCAAATAATGTGAATTTCCATATTATTAATGGGGTACCAATTTTTGTTGATTTTGTTGGTATAGGTTAACAACGAATTTAAACATTCAAGGAAGTACACATTATCTCTTGACTAGTATAAGGACTTTGGCAAAGCCATTAACTAAAATGTCCAAGAGAATTGATATCCACAAAAATAAATGAATTCACAGTATCTGAATTCAGTATGACAGATTATGTGCCTTTTCTTTGTAATGGTTAACAACATTTTCATATATGTCTGCTTTGGTTTTCCTTTTTTTTCCATTTTAAGCATTAAATGTGTAGTAAATAAAAAGGGGGGTAATCAATCATTTGCACTGTTATTGATACTGTTATTTCCATTTATTTAAAATTAACTTGGCTTCAAACACAGTACTAAGATCTGACCTAAAAAAACACCTCTGACCAAGGTTTAACACTGACGTTCCTATTTCAGAAATAATTCGTTAAAAACTTAATCGTCTGATGAATTTGTAAATAAATTCCTGTCAATTTTCTTTATATATTAAATGGATACAACGATCTGATTTCCCTAATTGACTTTTTTATCTAGAGGAAAAGTAATGGGATTAATTTTCCCTTACTGCGTATGTGACTATATGTATCATGTTTTCTATCAATAACTGACAACTTACAACATTTTCTCCAATAAGACTCACATTTCATTTGAATAATTTAAAATATTTCCTATTTGATTACCCAAACATGAACTTTTAATTTGCAATTACTATATGTTCTGTGTCAGTGTATGACATAAAACCAGTGATATGTATGACAGCTCAACAATTAGTTAATTCTAAGTCAAGAAAACAATTACCTAAGTCAGATTTTTTTAGGAAGTGTTCAGTTTACTAAGAGAATATATATTTAACAATGAGGATACTGCTATATCCAATAATTTTTAATTTCCTTTTTGTTATTTGTTTTCTTTTTCATGTGTTTTTCTCTATTTTGTCTTTGTCAAATATAAAACATAGACTAATATTTACAGAGGATTATATGAACTGCCTGAAACTACAAGAACTACTACTGCAACCATGTTTGATACATTCATTTTGATTGGTTAATGCACAAATCTTTAGGCATCAATTCCATAATTGAAAATTTGAAACTGTGTGCAAGCTTAGACATCAAGTAATTTTATGTAATGTATGTTTAAAAGGGTTTTGTTTCATTAGCACTAGAATTAAGATAACCATATTTATCTGGAGGTTTTTGGCTTCAACTTTAGATTTGATGGTTGCAGATAAAAGTTTATTAGCTTGGCTAAAGTGTCACTAGTAAACTCAATTTGCAACAACAAAATAGGC